AATAGATACTGTAGATCGATAGATAGATAGATAGATAGATAGCGAAAGAGCGAGAAATAAAGAGAGAAAGAGGGAATAGAGGAGAGTGGAAGATGAGGAGAAAGAAAATACAGGAAGAGGAAAAATCCTGAAGGAAAGAAAGAAAAATGGAGAGAAAAATCAAATAAACAGACAGACAAAGAAAGGAACAACAAGAGACGAAAAGACAGAGAAACAGAAATATAGAAAAAAAATAACAAAAGATAAAACGAACCACAGCCACGAAACCAGAAGAAAGAAGCGAGAAGAGAAGAGAGACAGAGAGATTAAATAACCCAGTTAACACCCTGCGCTTCCACCCCACCTCCCTCCCTAACCCCCACCTCCTACCCCTTCCCCTCCCCCCCATCCTCTACCCCCCACCCCACCCTCTCTTGCCAGATAAAACCTATGATTCACAAGCCACTTGCGTTAATTTCCATTTTCTCTTTGCATGTGAAAGAACATGTTAGGGAATATTGGCTCAACCCTGCTTAATGGAGCTGCCACGAGACCCCGTTTACAAGGACCACACTCCCGGCCCCCCCCCCCCCCCTCCCCCCTTTGCTCCTACTCCTGCTGAGATCCTCAAGTAGGCATTCCAAGCGGGCGATCGCTTCTGGAGATCACTCCCCCCCTCCCCTTCCCCCCCCCGCGTTGAAATCAGCCTCCTATCTGCAGTCCGTCGGGGATTTGCTGAGCCGGGTGTCAAGGAGGCTGCAATAACGGGGGTCCAGGCGAGGTGTTTATTGTGTTCATAAGTCATGTTCGGACGTAAAAGCATATTCCCGGTTTACGGTTTTGTCAAGGAGCTTCCTGTAGACACCTACGTCTTTACTTAACGTTACAGTTCGATCTCCTTCGTGCTTTTGGGTTTGTGGTGTTTTTTTTTTTGTTTTTTTTTAGAGCCGGTGGCGGAGGAGGAAATATTGGTTTTGATATCCGCGAGAAGTGGGTCGTTCAGATCGGGTTTCTTTTGCTTCACGTCGGGTTTCTTTTGCTTCACGTCGGGTTTCTTTTGCTTCACGTCGGGTTTCTTTTGCTTCACGTCGGGTTTCTTTTGCTTCACGTCGGGTTTCTTTTGCTTCACGTCGGGTTTCTTTTGCTTCACGTCGGGTTTCTTTCCTTCAAATCGGCTTCTTTCCTTCCTTCACATCGGCTTCTTTCCTTCACATCGGCTTCTTTTCTTCCTTCACATCGGTTTAATAAAGAAATTGACGATCGAATAAGCCGATTTTTTAAAAAGTATCCTTTCTGTTTCAATACTATTTTTTTGCAAACGCAATTGCAACAAGGAACGAGCGCCGTCGACATTGGCCTCGACGTTGATTACTATTTATATTAATTGGATTCAAGGAGTGAGCAAATGAACAAACAAATCAGGAGCTTAATGAAAACAGATTTCTTGTTCAAAAAGAAAAAAAAAAAGAAATAAAAAAGAAAGAAAGAAAGAAAGAAAAAAAACAGGCGTCCTGATGAAATGATAATGACAATAAAATTATACCCTCCCTCCCTCCCATTAAAAAAAGAAAAGAAGAAAAGAAAGACAAACCACTAACGGAAATAATAATAAATAAAAATTGATAAATAAAAATCGTGTTCTATTAAAAAAAAAAAAAAAAAAAAAAAAAAAAAAAAAAAACTCTCACGACGAGTTATTAAAAAAAACAAAAACATGTAAGCCTGTAATTAACACTAAATCAAATAACAATAACAAGCCTAAGTGGTTGCGGACGTAGGAGGGGGGAGAGGGGGGTAGGGGAGGGAGGGAGGGAGGGACGGAGGACGGAAGGAGGGAGGGAGAGAGGGAAGGAAGGAGGGAGGGAGGGAGGACGAAGGGAAAGAGTAAGGACGGGAGGGAAGGAGAGGGAGGGAGGGAGGGACGGAGGACGGAAGGAGGGAGGAAAGGAGGAAAGGAGAGTGGAAGAGGGAGGGAGAGAGGAAGACGAAGGAAGAGAGGAAAGGAAAAAGGGGGAGGTGAAATAGGTGGCAAGGGGCAGAGGGCAGGGGGCGGAGAAGACGGACCAGAGAACAGGGGCAAGGGACAGGGACACGGAGGCATCAAGCGAGACCAAAGGAAAGGGCAGTGATACGGAACAGAGGGCAGTGGTCAGAGGGGCAAGGGGTCGCCAGGGAGTCGCCAGGGGGTTGCCAGGGGATCGCCAGGGGTTGCCAGGGGATTGTCAGGGGGTTGCCAGGGGGACACCAGGGGATTGCCAGAGGGTTGCCAGGGGATCGCCAGGGGATTGTCAGGGGTTGCCAGGGGATCGCCAGGGGTTGCCAGGGGATTGTCAGGGGGTTGCCAGAGGGTCGCCAGGGAATCACCAGGGGGACACCAAAAGATCGCCAGGGAATCACCAGGGGATCGCCAGGGGATCGCCAAGGGACAAGGGGTCGCCAGGGAATCGCCAGGGGCACTTGGAGGCTCGTTGTTAGCGTCCGTGTAGCGCGCTGGCAGGGTCTCTTTGGCGGGTCTTTGAAGCTAAAGGATTGAGGAGGATCTTTGCATAATTGTAAAATGAGTGAGTTAATGTAAGGTCGGGCGGGGTGGAGGGGGTGAGGGGGGAAGGGGGGGGATGGGGGTTGGGTGGAAGGAGTGACGGGTGAGGGGGGAAGGGGGGGTTGGGTGAAAGGGGGGAAGGGGGTGGGGGAGTGGCGGAGGAGCGGCGGACGAGCTTTGTTCATTTTTGCTTTCCTTCTCTTCTTTATTTGATCTTTCTCTCTCTTTTTCTCTTTCTCTTTCTTTCTCTCTCTCTCTCTCTCTCTCTCTCTCTCTTCTCTCTCTCTCTCTCTCTCTCTCTCTCTCTTTCTCTGTTCTCGCTCTCTCTTTCTTTCTTTCTCTCTTCCTCATTTTTTCTCTTTTCTTTTTTTCCCTCCATCCTTCCCTTTCCTTCTTTATTCCGTCCTTTTTTTTTCTTTTTTTATATATTTTTTTCCACCTTTCTCTATTTTATCTTGCAACAATCCTTTCTTTATTTATTTTTATCTTTATTTCTATTTTTCGGCGAAAGGGACCAATTTTTCCAACTTGAGAAAGAGATAAAGAGAGAAAGAGAGAGAGAGAGAGAGAGAGAGAGAGAGAGAGAGAGAGAGAGAGAGAGAGAGAGAGAGAGAGAGAGAGAGAGAGAGAGAGAGAGAGAGAAGGGAGGAGGGAGGAGGTAAGGGAGAGAAGGAGAAAGAGGAAGAAAAGGGGAGAAGAAGGAAAGGAGAAACGAAGGAGGAGGAAGAAGGGGGAAGGGGAGAGACGAAGAAGGAGAGAGGAGGAAAGGAAGAGAGACAGAAGAACAAGGGAAGAAATGAATAAAAAGAGAGAAAGGGGAGAGAGTAATGAAAGAGGTGAAGATAGGAGGAGAGAGAAAAACAGGGGAGAAGAGGAAAGAGAAAGAATAGGGGAGAAGAGGAGAGAGAAAGGAGGGAGAAGATAAGGATGGAGCAGTGAGGCGAGAAAGTGGGAAGAGAGGGAAGAGGAGAAGAGGAGGGAAGAGGGAAGAGGGAAAGAGGAGAGACGGACGAAGCAAGGAAGAGGAAAGGGAGAGATAGGCAAGGAAGGAACGGGAGAGAATAGGGGTAGAGAATACGGAAAGAGGGAGGAGAAGAGGGAAGAGAGAAAACCGAAGCAAAGAAGAGGGAGAGAGAAGAGAGAAGAGAAGGCCGGAGTAAGGGGAAGTGGGTGGGGGGATAGAGACGGAGGGGGGGAAGAGAGGGTAGGTGGAGGGGGGAGGGGGAGAGGGGTAGGTGGACGGGAGAGAGAGAGTAGGTGGAGGGGGGGTAGGTAGAGGGGGGGAGAGTAGGTGGAGGGGGGGGAGAGTAGGTGGAGGGGGGGGGGAGGGGAGGAGAGAGGGAGGGGGGGGGGAGAGGGAGGGAGGGGGAGAGGGAGGGAGGGGGGAGAGGGAGGGAGGGAGGGAGGAAGAAGTAAACGGCAAACACAAAGGAATCGCCAGAGCTGCTACTTCAAGACCCAAGATGGACACGAGAGGAACCGCTATGGCGAGGGACCGGACAGACTCTCTCTCGCTCGCTCTCTCTCTCTCTCTCTCTCTCTCTCTCTCTCTCTCTCTCTCTCTCTCTCTTTCTCTTTCATTCTCTCTCTCTCGCTCTCTCTCTCTCTCTCTCTCTCTCGCTCTCGCTCTCTCTCTCTCTCTCTCTCTCCCTCTCTCTCACTCACTCTATCTCCCTCTCTCTCTCTCTCGCTCTCTCTCTCTCTCTCTCTCACTCTCTCTCTCTCTCTCTATCTCTCTCTCGCTCTCGCTCTCGCTCTCCCTCTCTCGCTCTCACTCTCTCTCCTCTCCCTCTCTCGCTCTCACTCTCTCTCCTCTTCCTCCCTCCCTCCTTCCCTCCCTCTCCCTCCCTCCCTCCCTCCCTCGCCTAATTTGGCCGTAGAGACCCAAAGCCTCCAGGGAGCTTCAGTGAGCTTTAAATCGAGTGAGCTGACGACGGCCGCTCTCCCCTGTCCGCGATCCCGCCACAGGAACGCGCGGATTGTGGGAAAAAGGGAGGAGGCGATAAATAAGGGGGGGGGAGGGGCGGGGAGAGAGGGAGGGAGGGAGGAAGGGAGGGAGGGAAGGAAGGGAGGGAGAGAGGGAGAGAGGATGGGGGGGAAGGAAGAGTGTGGGAGAGAGGGAGACGGAGAGGGAGGGAGAGAAAGTGAGAGGGAAGTGGAGGGAGAGAAGGAGGGAGGGAGGGAGGGAAAAGAAAGAGACAGGGAGGGAAGAAAAAAGGGAGGGAGGGGAAGGAGGGAAGAAAAAATAGAGGGAGGGGAAGGAGGGAAGAAAAGAGGGAGGGGAAGGAAGGGAGGGAGAGAAGGAAAAAGAAAGAGAAGATAGAAGGAGGTAAGAGACAAAAAAGAACTGAATTAACGGAAGTAAGAAGGAATAAATTTCAAGACAAGTAAAAGGGAGGGAAGAGGGTGAGGGAGGGAGGTGAGGGAGGGAGGGAGGGAGAGAGGGAGGGAGGGAGGGAGAACGAGGGCGTGTGAGCTCGCGCGCGGGCGTGTGTGTCTCTCCCCCAACAGCAGCCATCGTTCAGCTTGAGTGAAACATTGTGATTATCTCGCAGTTAATTAAAGCTCCGGCGGATCCTTATCACGGCCAGTTACCGGGTAAATTACCGGTCCATTTCGGTCTCCTTCGCCGTCCGCGCCCTCTCGCCCTCTCGAGTGGGGCGAGAGGGGGGAGGGGGGAGGAGAGAGAGGGGGAGGAAAGGAGAGAGTGAGGGGGTGAGAGAGCGAGAGAGTGAAAGAGACAAGGAATCGAGAGACCGAGATGCCAAAAGAGCGAAAGAGCGAGAGGGGGAGAGGGCAAGAGGGCGAGAGGGCGAGAGGGCGAGAGGGCGAGAGGGCGAGAGAGGAAGAAGGGCGCCGCTGTATGATAAACACTCTAGCCCAGTAATCAGGCCAAACGAAAACCATAACAAGTACAGACAAAGTTGTTCCTAGAAAGAGAGTGAGAGAGAGAGAGAGAGAGAGAGAGAGAGAGAGAGAGAGAGAGAGAGAGAGAGAGAGAGAGAGAGAGAGAGACGGAGAAAGAAGCAGATACACAACCAAACCCAAAAACCCAAACAAAAAAGCTTAAAACCAAAACAAAACAAACAAAGACAAAACCAAAACACAAGAAAAAAAAAGAAAAAAGAAGAGAGAACAGCATAAAAAAAAAAAAGACCCACGCCAGTCCGACAGCGGCGTTGCGGCCCGACACCACCACCTCGGCGGCGGCAACGAGTGAACATCGAGAAGCGCAGAGATGCTGAGCGTTTTTGTTCTCATTAACGCTCGCATCGGCTCCTGTACGATGGAACGCGGACAGGCTAGGCTTGCTTATTTCCCTGAGGACTTGGCTTCCTGCCTCCTCGATCTTTCGTCGTATTCTTTGTTTTCATTCGGTTCGCTTTTCTTTTCTTTTATTTGAGTCTTTTGTATTTGGTTTTGGTTTCGTCTTGCTTTTTTTCTGGTCTTGTTTTTTTTTACTTGTTTCTCCTCCTTTTTTTTTTTCTTTTTCTCCTTCTCTTCTTTTCCTCTTCTTCTCTTTTTCTCGTCATTCTCCTCCCACTCTTCCATTATCCATCCACCCACCACCCCATCTTCCCCTCCCCTTCCCTCCCCTCCCGTTACCCTCCGTTAGCTCTTGCCTCCCACATTCACCCCTCCCCCTCCCTCCCTCACCACCTACCCTTCCCTTCCCCTCCACCACCCATCCACTCTCCTCCTACCCCATCCACCTTACTCCCTCGAGTCAATCCACAACCCCTCCCCCCCACCACCACCACATTCCCTCCCCTTCCTCCTCCACCGTCACTCCCTCCCCTCTCTGCCACCACCCATTCTCCCTCCCTCACCTTCTCCCTCTTCCACCCTCACTCCCCTCCTCCTTCTTCCACTCCCCCTCCCTCCTTCCCTCCCCCCTTCCCTTCTCCCTCTACCACCCACCTCCTTCCCTCCCTCCCCTCTACCCCCCACCCTCCCTCCCCTCCTCCCTCCCCTTAACCACCCACCCTCCCTCCCCTCCACCCTCCCTCCCTCCCCTCCACCAGCCACCCTCCCTCGTCTCCCTCCCCTCCTCCCTCCCCTCCACCAGCCACCCCTCGTCTCCCTCCCCTCCCTCCCTCCCCTCCACCAGCCACCCTCCCAGCCCGGCGCGTGTGTGTATACTAAAGCCTCCGACGATGGACTGCCACTGATAAAAGTCCCCAGCGAGAAGCCGTCAGCGCCCTGGGAATTTTCAAGCCGTTCGGGATTTATGACTGTGTTGTCTTTCTATCTCCGTCACCCCGGCGCTGCAGGAGAGACGCGCTGCTTACGACTGCAGGGGCGATAACCTATCAGCTGCACTGCCGGTGTTAGCATGCTAGTGACAGCGAGGGATCGTTTCTTTGAAGGTATTTTTCGCGGGAGTCTTGGGGACCAGAGGCGCTGGCGATTCCGTTGGGGTTAAATGGCTCGGCCGAACGGAGGCGACGACCAGGTTTTCGTGTGGTGGTGAGGGTGGTAAGGACAGGGATTGTTGTACTGTTATGGTTGTGGTTGTTATTGATTAATATTAATTTTATTATTTTTGTTGTTGTTATTATTATTATTATTATTATTATTATTATTATTATTATTATCATTATTATTATTATCATCATTATTATTTTTTTTTTTGTTATTTTTAGTATCATAATCATTCTTCTTCTTAATATAATTATCATTATTACTATTACTATCATTATTATTGGAATTATATTTATTAGTAGTAGTAGTAGTAGTAGTAGTATTTTATTATTATCATTATTACTATTATTATTATTATTATTGTTATTGTTATTATTACTATTATCATTATCATTATTATTATCATTACTGTTATCAATTATATTACTATTATTATTATTATTATTATTATTATTATTATTATTATTATTATTATTACTTTTATATTATTATCATTATTGTTATTACAAATATTATCAATTATTGTTATTATTATAATAATGATAATTATCATTATT